GAACTGATAATACCCTAAGAGGACTCTCATGTGTCTGGAGCTCCTGCGCCTTCCTTCTCATCAATTAATTTCCAGAACTATCTATAAACGGATCACCCAGAACTATCTATAACAGATAATACGAAATCTGCGTGGCGCTACAATAAGTGATAGCAGACGCAAGCAAATATCGGCAAGGTGGGTCGTTGAACAGATATCAATGTGGGTTCTTGAATGGAGCTCGCATATTACTTGCAGAACTAACTATCGACAAGACAGAAAAAAATTATAATTTTTTGAACTGGACAAGAATTTCAACTCGTGGCAAATGCAATCTTCAAAGAAACGACTATATTAGTTGCAATGAATGGAGGTTAACAGCTTACAACCATTCGTCTAAATATGTACTTTKAATCACCGTTTCGAATGCGAACTTACTACCATGTATTCTTAATTGCAAACACTAACATTTCTATGCTTTAATATTTATTATATTTCGTGAAATTTATAATAATCAATATTTAACTGGTCAATTTCGAGCACTGCTTGACGAAGGTGCGGAATTCAGTAAATACGGAGAGCAAATCACTCACAGCGTCCACATTGCAAGCGCCATAAGCACCCGGTGTGGAGGACAACTTCATCGAGAGGGTAATAGTGTTGCCCACCTGCTTCTTCAGGGTTACCATCTTGCTCACCAACTTACTGAAACAAGATTTCGATGACTTCKTATTAGCATCAGCTTCGGCGTTATAGTCAGCATTATTGCAGACATTCTCATTCAGGTTAATAATATCATTGCAGGTCTTCACCACAGTTTGTACTTGATTAATCACATTGTTCAAGTCCTTAAAAGCGGCGCTATTGCAATCCTTGAAGGCTTGAATGAAACCAAAGCTAGCAGCGCGAATACTGATCACCCGCTCGATGGTGCAATGTACACCCTTGAGAGTGCGCAGACCAGCCTTGATGGTTGGCTTCAAGAGTCCGAAAACACCACCGAAAAGATAGTCATCGGTGATCGCATCGGTCAACTCTGAGGGAGAGAATTCGATAACTACCTCATCCTCCGAGGGGTAGTCCACAACCGCCTGTGGTGCGTCAAATATGAGTTTTGTAGAAAGCAAAAACTAATAGTAACGTAAAGTAACTTACCGCGTTGACTGCAAGGCACAGTCCGAGTACAAGAACAAAKACAGCTAATTTCATTTTGATATGTTAACTTGGCGAACAAGATTGTTAATGACAATCGAACGTCGCGGCAAGCTTTTATAGCGCGGGGAAATATTGCGCAATGGTCAATTAGGGGATTTGGAAGGCGCATGCAAGGCAAGACAGTCAGGAAAAGTGTGCGTGGACTTAAATGTGGTATTAATTGTCTGCATAAATGCAAACTTATAACAGTATGTGGTTCTTAACACCGCTAATGATCGATAGTCGAGCGTTAAGCTATTAAAGGCGGSAAGTACTGTTTGTGCACAGTCGGTTATTATTCGTCTAACTCACGTGTCGTGTTATCGCAAAGCTTAAATTACTACAAATTTGGTGGACTTTGCACATTAATCTTTATTTTAGCTTTGCTGGTGGTCTTTGAGACATTATATATTCTCGGTAATTACAGATAAGACACTTGCTAAAATAGGAAAAGCGCCGGTCGTGTAAAAATTACCTTTTCATAACAAAATAATGTACGGCTATATCATTATTATCTTGCTTTTTGCTTTTTCAGTTATCTTTCCATACACGGCAGCCAAATATTCCTAATTATTAGTTATCTTGGGATTTATGCGAAACATTTGCAGCACGAAAGYACATCATTTTTAAAACTTGTCTTTTATCAGACCATGAGTTGTAGTTGTTTGCACTTAAAATTCGTTTTTGTATTGTTTTTTCTTAATTCTTTTGTTTGTCAAGTTTTTCAGGGACTCTAACTAAATACAAACTGGATCCAAAATAAGTAATTTCCACTAAATTCAGACTTTACTTTCAGACCAATAAGGGACAATAGAAGGGACAAGGTCCGGGCTGCAAGGCAATCCTCCCGCTATTCTTTTCCAACTAACATTTAGCCGCAAATTTTGGACGGCATTCAACAATYATTCGTTTTGTTCATTTTAATTTGATGAGTTTCTGTCGAAAGCGTTACCTATTGATGGTTTCACATAACTTTAGAAGCTCTTAATAATCTACAACACGCCCTTCTGATTTCACCAAATAGAGAGCATTACTTTAGGGTAGCGGATCTTCGGSTTTCCTTTTAAATTTGTTAAAAGCCTTGGCTGGGATGGCTTTCAGTCTCTTCAGCGAGTTTTCTGATGGCATTATTTTTTGTTTTTATGCAGGCATTTCTAGCTAACGAACGAGCGACTGGTCAATTGTCTCCGAGCAACTGGAGAGCCAGGAAAAACATTTTCGCGGGACGTGTTTCTGTGAGTGGTACAAGCCGAAAATGCAGCGTTCGCTAGAGCAGAGATACGCGATTAAGTTCTATGTAAATCTGCGACATAGCCGTTTTGTATGATCAAGCAGGCTTACCCGAATGT